ATACTAGTCCATTTGAAATTGTTCCACAGCTCACTGATGCTATTTTTTTTGGTTGTTTATTATTTTGTTATTTTTTTTCTCTGTATGTTTCATTTTGGTTAGTTTGTACTGTCATCTTCAAGTTCATAAACCTTTTTTTCAGAAATCTCATCTGCTATTCATCCCATGCAGTGTATTTTTCATCTCGGACATTGTAGCTTTCACCTCTAGAGATTCAGTTTGTGTCTATATCTTGACTATCTCTATGTGTTTGATAATTCCTCAATATTTCCTAACTTTTTAAATATATGGAATACAGTTGTAATAAATGTTTTAATGTTCTTATCTGCTAATCTAGCAACTATCATCTATATCAGTCCTGGATTGGTTTCAATTGATTTTTCTCATCATTATGTGTCATATTTTCCTGTTTCTTGGGATGCTTGGTGATTTTTTTTTTTTTTTACACATTGTGAATTTTACCTTTTTGGATATTAGATTTTTTTTTAATTCCTTTAAATATTTGTGAGCTTTGTTCTGGGACACAGTTAAGCTACGTGGAATAATTTAATACATAAAGATCCTGCTTTTAAATTTTGTTAGGCATCCAGAACAGCACTTAGTCTGGTAATTTCCTGCTACTAAGATTAGACTCTTGTAAGTACTCTAAACAATTCCCCATGAATTATGAGATTTCCTATTCAGGCTAGTGGTAACAGGCACTATTTACAGCTCTTCATGAGCCCTAGGTACTGTTTTCTTTAATTCTTTCATATAGGGTTTTCTTCCACCCTGCCTGGCTTGGCGTAGTTTTCTCACTTGCATGCATAGATCAGTAGTCAGCTGAAGACTTGATGGGAACTCTCTGCTGATCTCCATGTCTTCTTTCTGTGCTGTTCTCTTCTATTTAGTACTGTGCCCTGAGAACTCTAGCCATTTTGGTCACCCTGGACCCTCATCTCTGGAGTGCCCCAGGCTCTAATTGGGTTTCCCCACCCCCTACTTTCTGTGCCATGGCCAGGACATTAAGTTGGGACAGTTTTAGCTCTCCTTGTTTGCTGTTCCTCTGTCTGGGATCACTGTCCTTCTCTGCCTGATATCCATTGTGTTAAAATACCATAATTTCATGTTTTTCCAGTGTTTTAGTTGTTTCTGGTGGATAATAAATCCAGTCCTGTTACTCCATCTTGGCTGGAAGCAGAAATCCATTCATTATATTTTTTAAGATAAATAAGTTGTGTATTATCAAGCTTAGTGATTTTAGTTTATGGCTTTTGCCTCTGATATCTTGCTCAATAACTAAATACTCATCTGCAAATTATTTTAGAAGTTTTTATGATCTCATTTTTTTTATTATTTTAATATTATTTTATTTTAAATATCATTTTAATATTTATTTCTTTCAAAAAATCACTTTAGTCTATAGTATGACTTAGTAGTCTGTGTGTGTCCTCCAAATGGTTATCCATAGTACTTAGCTTTAATCACATTGAAGCCAAAATATTCAAGTTTAAAATACATCTTGGTGATTGAAAAGATTTTAGTTCTCATAAATTTGGTTCATAGATCTTTTTGGTTTTCCTAAGAGAAATTTTGTAATTTGCTTTTTTTTTTTTTTTTTGGCATGATCTCAAAAGGCATGTCTTTGATTTAATCCGTTGTTTCTCTTTTCTATTCTCTAAGCAGTGAAGGCAATAGTACTTTTGAACTTTATGTACTTTGTTGCCTAACAAGTAACTAAATTTAAGTTATTTTTTCAATAGTATTGATATACTGACTTTATGCTTGATTATTGGCATTCATGGCTTGGCAGGATGACTACTCATGATTACAGATGCAGTGTTGTGGGGGAATCCTTTTTCCTGTTTAAAAACCTTCAATGGCTACCCATTACCCTCAAGATAAACTCCAAATTTCTTAGTATGGTTTAAAAGAATTATTGTGATTTTCCTTGGCTTATAAAGGAATTTAGTCTTGCCTGACACATAGTAGTGCTTAATAAATGTTAGCTGTTACTATTTCAATATTACTCAGACCAAACTGCTTTTGAAACAGATTTATCGAGATATAATTTTCTTGTTTTTTTAAAATTACATTTTATTCTACATGTGTCTCCAAGGAAATCAAAAAGAAATACAATTAATTTGTGATGTTGGGGGGAAAAATCTTTGCTTTTACTTGTTCAACAAAAATATCTGAATCAATTATACTTTTATCAACTTTCCCTTCACATCCTAGCATTCTGTTTTGCCATCCACTGTGTATTTCTCACACATATCTATCTCAAAGTTATCTTGAGAGGGAGAGTGAAAACAAAAATCCAAATTCTAAAAGATAGCGCTTAATCAATGTTAAGTCTATCCACAGTTATGTATATTAAACAGAATTATGTCTATTGCATCCTTATAAGCTTCTGAAAATAAGCATATTTATGCTAAGAAATGTCATTGTAATATACAAATAAATAAATTTTTCCAAAATTTAGATTATTGTAAACTAAAATTAAGCTAATTTGTGATTTAAATGACAATTTATTAGCTCCTTAGAAATCAGTGTTCATTGTTCTTTGCGTTTGTCTAAGTAAACTGTCAGGTATAGAAACTTTTAAATACCACTAATGATGCATAGGTACAACATCACACCTAAGGGAATATACTTCAAAAGCAGAATTATTTTTTCATAAAAGAGATAGCAGCTGAATCATAATATATTTTAACACCAGTGTTTTTCTCACCAAACTGTCCTCTCCAAATCTACATAGTACCAACCAAAAAGAAAAAAGAAAAAGAAAAATTAGTTAGGAAGCTACATACTCCAAAGCACATTGCATGTCTTACCTCTATTGTCAGTCAGATATCTGGGATAAAATATGTAGTCTCTACATAGACAAAGCTTTCACCGTGAAAGTAAAGGAAGATCCAGCATGCTGGCTAAGTGACATTTTCCAGTTGCCTGTTGCATTTGTCATTAACTAGAGAAAGTGTCTATGTAACTATTGGTCAGGAAGAATATATACTTCATCTTGCAGTCTTGTAGACTGTTTGATTAACCCATTAATGGGTGGATCAAGTCAGAATAATCACCTTTATGTTTCTTTAGTCCCCTTTTGGAAATTTCTTCTTTTGAGGTTTTTTTCCCCCTGCGTAACTGATAATTTACCTGTTCTTTTTCTTTTCTTCTCCTCAGAAATCTATTGTTGATATTTTAATTTTCTTATCTTTAATTCCTATTTGTTTTCAATTAGCTAGGACAAAAGTCATGGTTATTACCCCTCTCCGTTTTATTTTTTTTTAACTTTTAATTTTATATTGGAGTATAGTTGATTAACAATGCTGTGATAGTTTCAGATGTACAGCAAAGTGATTCAGTTATACATATACTTGTTTCTATTCTTTTTCAAATTCTTTTCCCTTTTAGGTTGTTACATAATATTGAGCAGAGTTCCCTGTGCTATACAGTAGGTCCTTGCTGGTTATCCGTTTTAAGTATAGCAGTGTGTACATGTCAATCCCAGACTCCCTAACTGTCCCTTCCCCCAACCATTCCCCCCTGGTAACCATAAGTTCATTCTCTAAGTCTCTTGTGAGTCTGTTTGTGTTTTGTAAGTAAGTTTATTTGTATCACTTATTTTTAGATTCCACTTTCTCTTTCTCTGACTTACTTTACTCAGTATGACAATCTCTAGGTCCGTCCATGTTGCTGCAAATGGCATTATTTCATTCTTTTTAATGGCTGAGTAATATTCCATTGTATATATGTGCCACATCTTCTTTATCCATTCCTCTGCCAATGGACATTTAAGTTGCTTCCATGCCTTGGCTGTTGTAAACAGTGCTACAGTGAACATTGGGGTGCATGTATCCTTTTGGACCATGTTTTTCTCTGGATATATGCCCAGGAGTGGGATTACAGGATCATATGGTAGCTCTATTTTTAGTCTTTTAAGGAACCTCCATACTGTTCTCTGTGGTGGCTGTACCAATTTACATTCCCACCAATGGTGTAGGAGGGTTCCCTTCTCTCCGCACCTTCTCCAGCATTTATTGTTTGTGGATTTTTTGATGATAGCCATTTTGACTGGCTTGAGGTGATATCTCATTGCAGTTTTGATTTGTGTTTCATATATAATTTTCATACCAAACAATTCACCCATTTAAAGAGTACAACTAAAGAGTTTTTAGTATATGAACAATTGTACAACCATCACCACAATGAATTCTAGGACATTTCACCACACTAAAAAGAAAGCCCATACCCTTTAGCTATCACCCCCAACTCTCCTTCACCCGCTAGTCTCTATAAATTTACTTATGCTGGATGTATTATATAAATGGAATCATACAGTATGTAGTCTTTTGTGACTGGCTTCCTTCACTTAGCTTAATGTTTCGCCTGTGTTGTGGTGTGTATCAGTAGTTCATTCCTTTTTATCCCTGAATAATATTCCATGGTATGGATATACCATATTGTGTTTATTCATTCACCAAATGGACATTTGGGTTGTTGCTGAATAATGCAGCTACCAATATCCAAGTTTTTGTGTGGACGTGTGTTTTTATTTCTCTTGGGTATATACCGAGGAGTGGGAATTTCTGGGTCAACTTGTAACTCTGTGTTTAAGTTTTTGATGAACTCCCAATCTGTTTCCCAAAATGGCTGTACCATTTTACATTTCCACCAGCAGTGTTGGAGGGTCTGAATTTCCCCACATCCTTACCAATACTTATTATTTGACTTTTTGATAATAGCCATCCTAGTGGGTATGAAAATGGTATCTCATGTGTTTTTAATTTTATTTGTCTAAAGACTAATGGTGTGGAGCATCTTTTCATGTGTTAGTGGACATTTCTATATCTTTGGAGTAATATCTATTCAGATCCTTTGCCCATTTTTCTTTTGGATTACTTGTCTTTTTATTATGAATTTCTAAGACCAAGATGCTTTTTATGGATAATATGAATCTGTAATTGCTACCAAACAAAATGTATAATAAGTTAATGTTAAACCTTATTTTTCTACAGGTACTGAAATTTTACACACACCCCCAAATATTTGTCAATGAGAGAGAAAGCTGACTGGGATATCAAAAGCAAAGTGCTTGCACATACTGGTCATCATGCGGAAAGGGGTGCCAAGGGACCCAGAGATTGCTGATCTGTTCTACAAAGATGATCCTGAAGAACTTTTTATTGGTTTACATGAAATTGGACATGGAAGCTTTGGAGCAGTTTATTTTGTAAGTAATTAAAAATTGTTTAGATCAAATTATGAAAGTTTAAATTCTGTACATTCTAACTATTACTTGTAAAATGCACTTGGTTTTAATGTTTATTCTACAAATTAAATGATGTCTACAGTAGAGGCGGATAGTCATTGCTGAAGAGCCAGTCTTAGAATTCTAGGCATCATTCAAGTCAATGGTATCCATATCAAATGACTGTGCTGTCAAAGTAGTGCAAAAAAGTTACAAGCTTGAGTTTGAACCCTGTTCATTTCCCTTACATGCCAAGCTCTTTTCTGCCTCAGGGCCTTCATATATGCTATTCCTCCTGCCTAGAAAACTGTACATTTTTTCCCCATTCCTGTCTAACTCTTGTTTACCATACAGGTATCAGTTTAAGTGTTAAATCCATGTGATAGCCATTCCAGTTCAACCCTCCAGCACTAAATTAAGACTTTCTTTATGGTCTCATAACACCCTATGCTTGTACTTTGTTGCATTTGTCACAGTTATAATTGAATAATTATGTGTGAGATTTTTTGATTCATGTATGTCTCTCTTACTAAATAATAAGCTCCATAAGGACAGGAATTATATCTACTTGTTCATTGCTATATCCCCAATAGCTAGTATAATGTCTGAATAGTAGGAACTCAGTAAATGATGGATGGATGGGTGGATGGACAAGTGGACATCTACGCAGACAGATAGACTGACAGATTTTTAGTAACAATCGTGTTAAGTCAGTATCTCAGGTTAAGGGATACAAGGCTTAACCCCGTTGCGTCAGTTTAAATTCCAAGACTGTGATTATCTTCTGATGACAAAAGTGAGAAATGACTGAAATGTTAACATAAGTCATTCACCTGAAATTCATTGCATGAAATATAGTTCTTTATTTCAATAACCTTAGAAGTTTGCAACCTCAAATTAACACATACTTCCTTAAGAGTACTAGTTCATTAAAGCAAGTAATATTTAAGTAATATTACCTATTTCTCCTCCAAACCTGTTAGCAAATAATTTCTTTCTTAATCAAACAGTATTTGACTTTTTAAGTGGTCCTTTATGTCCTTCCATCTGGATAGGGCTTATCTTTAGTTGGCCTCTTCCAAATGGGATTTTATTAATTGCATCTTGAACTCACCCTTTTGTTTCTAGCCAAATCTTCAGCCTGAGTTTTCTCAGAATGCTCTTTCGTGCCTTCATGTCTATACTCAGCACTACCACCACTTCTCCCTCACCCCCGTCCAATACTTGGCTCCCACTCAAGTACATTTTATCATTAAGTGACCTTCCATTGCTGAAGTGGATGCTAATTTTCTAGTTAATACCCTCATATTAGTCTTTGGGCTTGGAGCAGCATTTACGGCCCAAAGTCCTATCTTTCTCATTCACTGAGGCACATTTTTTTAAAAGGATTTTTTAAATTACAAATATATCATATATACAGAAGTGTGTGTAATACATTCACACATATATTTTAATATATAATTTAAAGAACAATTAAAACGTAAATCCCTTTATAACCACCAGCCAGGCCAAGAAGAATATTGCCAGCACCCCAGAAGCCCCTTTTTTGTTAGAAGAATCCACTATGCTGAATTTTATGATGATGACTTTCTTATATTTCTTTATACGTACCCACTTACTTCTCTACCCCTAATAATATAATTTGGTTTTGCCGGTTTTGAACTTTTTAACAATAGAAACATTCTGTATATATTTGGTTGTGACCTGTTTGTTTTGCTTAGAGATACTTTCTTCAGTCAGTCATCTTTTATTACTTTCATTCTGTTACTGTATAACTAATTCATCATCTCAGAATCTCTCTTGGCCAGAGTCAGAGAGTAGTTGCAATCTCTGTTTGACTCTTCTATTTTAAAAATCAGCCAGACCACTCTCAAAGTTCTCTTTTAGAATAAATACAATAAACCAAATGTGCTTCGAAACTTACTAACATGCCTTTTGTGCTGGGGAAAAAATGAGACCTACATTGCTGTAGAAGACCCAGTGCTTTTGGGACTAAGTCCTGTCTGTTTAGCTAGAGTATGGTAGTTCCCCCTTATCCACAGTTTCGCTTTCCACGGTTTTAGTTATCTGCGGTCAACCTCAGTCCAAAAATATGGAAAAATCCAGAAATAAACAACTCTTAAGTTTTAAATTGCGAGCTATTCTGACCAGAATCATGTGAATATGTGTTATTTGTTGATAATGATAGACTATAGAAATCACAAAGATACCTGGGTGGCTTTGATACTGAAATGTAATCATTAACTATATATTGCCTGTATACAAAAGTGTAGAGTACAGGCCCTTATAAACCCGTAAGGCACTTGAAAAACAGCTTAAAGGGGAATTAACTGATACTTTACTATAAAACTTAAAAAAGCCTTAACCTTTTATCTACAGTGGTCACATAGGTGCACCTTAAATATGGATTTTCTCACGGGCCACAGTAATATGACCCATGTTGCTCCTCCCTGTTGACAGATTCTTCCTCTTCTCACTCATACCATTATAACCAAGAAGACTACCACCTCTTACTTGGACAACTGCAATAACCTCCAAACCGATCTCTGTGCATCCATTCTGGTCTGTCTCCAGTCTTTTGTCCACACCACAGTGAGCTTGAGGGTTGGTGGAGAGCGGAAACACGTAAATATGATCACATCACCTTTTCTCTGTAAAGCCTTCAGGGGGTCTCCTCCTCTGTTCTTAGGCTAAGTTCAACTTCCCTACTGTAGGCAGCCTATAAGGTCCTTCATGAGGTGATCCCTCTATACCTGAACTGTATTCCCTCTTATTCTCATTGCTCTAGTTATTATATAAAAGTTTTCTTTTAATCATCCATCATAGGATCTTTGCATAAACTGTTCTCTCTGGAATGTTTTCCCCTGCCATCTTCATCTTAACTCCACTTTATCCTTTATCTCTCAGCTGAAGGCTCATTTATTCAGGGAAGCCTTGCCTGACGTGCCTAATCACATCCCCCATTTTTTGGTTCCCAAAGTAACACATACCCTTCTTTGTAACACATATAACAGTTGCAATTTTATATTAATTATGATTTCATTTTTGCTGTCTATACTACTAGAAGAGAGATAGGCACTAGGCATACTTACAATTCTATCCCTAGCATTTATCCCAGTACCTGACAAACTTTGAGCACCTGGTGAGTATTTGAATTATGAAGAACTCACAGAATTTGGAACTGCTAATTAGTACTTTTCATGAGTCAGAATCATATTAGCAAGCTGTAAAGACCAGAGTCTAGCAACCAACATTTTTATACGTCAACACTATAATTCTGTTTGACTTTTTGTAGTTTACAGCTTTTACACAGAACGATGCCAGGAAATATATTAAAAGTGAATTGTACGCTGGCACGGCTCTTGTAGAATCAATCAGTTGAGAATATATATTATATTCAGAGAAAATTGAAACTATTGATGAAATATCTCTGTGTATATGGATTTACATAAGTAATTCAAAAATTAGCATGAGTATGGGCTTCCCTGGTGGTGCAGTGGTTGAGAGTCCGGTGCAGGGGACACGAACCCGTGTCCCGGTCTGGGAAGATCCCACATGCCGCGGAGCGGCTGGGCCTGTGAGCCATGGCTGCTGAGCCTGCGCGTCCAGAGCCTGTGCTCCGCAACGGGAGAGGCCACAACAGTGAGAGGCCCGCATACCGTAAAAAAAAAAAAAAGAAATAAATTAGCATGAGTAAAACTGAAATAGTAAGAAACTCTATTAAAGGAAGATAAAAAGGACTGAACGTGTTCATTTTTGTAATCACTTAAAAGACAACTATAAAGTTTCTGGGGTTCTAGTGTTGCCTTGTTGAACTCAGCATATCATCCATAATCCACCTAAAGCAAATAATTTAGTTTTGTTCTTCTGGGTATAAATACCTTTTAGTTTTAGTTGAGGCTTAATAAATAGGGCAAAAGGAAAAGCTTATGTTTAATTTTTGTATTTCTCCATAAACTAGTAAAGAGTTGACAGTAATCTAAATGTAGCTGGAAATGGTTATAAAAATATCAGAAACACATATGTAGTAAGTCCTCAATAAATGTATTTTGAATCAGTGATTTTTTTTTTATTGGGAGTATAATTGCTTTACAATGTTGTGTTAGTTTCTGCTGTACAATAAAGTGAATCAGCTGTATGTATACCTATATGCCCTCCCTCTTGGACCTCCCTCCCACCTCCACCCCCCCGCCCATCCCACCCATCTAGGTCATCACAGAGCACAGAGCTGGGCTCTCTGTGCTTTACTTTACTTTTTTTTTCCCATTTATTTATTTATGTATTTTTTAACGTCTTTATTGGAGTATAATTGCTTTACAATGGGGTGTTAGTTTCTGCTTTATAACAAAGTGAATCAGCTATACATATATATATATCCCCATATCTCTTCCCTCTTGCATCTCCCTCCCTCCCACCCTCCCTATCCCACCCCTCTAGGTGGTCACAAAGCAGTGAGCTGATCTCCCTGTGCTATGCGGCTGCTTCCCACTATCTATTAGTTTTTTTACATTTGGTAGTGTATATATGTCCATGCCACTCTGTCACTTTGTCCCAGCTTACCCTTCCCCCTCCCCATGTCCTCAAGTCCATTCTCTAGTAGGTCTGCATCTTTATTCCTGTCCTGCCCCTAGGTTCTTCATGACCTTTTTTTTTTTTTTTTTTAGATTCCATATATATGTGTTAGCATACGGTATTTGTTTTTCTCTTTCTGACTTACTTCATTCTGTATGACAGACTCTAGGTCCCTCCACCTCACTACAAATAACTCAGTTTCGTTTCTTTTTATGGCTGAGTGATATTGCATTGTGTTTATGTGCCACGTCTTCTTTATTGATTCATCTTTTGATGGACACTTACGTTGCTTCCATGTCCTGGCTACTGTAAATAGAGCTGCAATGAACATTGTGGTACATGACTCTTTTCGAATTATGGTTTTCTCAAGGTATATGCCCAGTAGTGGGATTGCTGGGTCGTATAGTAGTTCTATTTTTAGTTTTTTAAGGAGCCTCCATACTGTTCTCCATAGTGGCTGTATCAATTTACATTCCCACCAACAGTGCAAGAGGGTTCCCTTTTCTCCACACCCTCTCCAGCATTTATTGTTTGTAGATTTTTTGATGATGGCCATTCTGACCATTGTGAGATGATATCTCATTGTACTTTTGATTTGCATTTCTCTAATGATCAAAAGATGTTGAGCATTCTTTCATGTGTTTGTTGGCAATCTGTATATCTTCTTTGGAGAAATGTCTATTTAGGTCTTCTGCCCATTTTTGGATTGGGTTGTTTGCTTTTTTGATATTGAGCTACATGAGCTGCTTGTAAATTTTGGAGATTAATCCTTTGTCAGTTGCTTCATTTGCAAATATTTTCTCCCATTCTGAGGGTTGTCTTTTGGTCTTGTTTATGGTTTCCTTTGCTGTGCAAAAGCTTTTAAGTTTCATTAGGTCCCATTTGTTTATTTTTGTTTTTATTTCCATTTCTCTAGGAGGTGGGTCAAAAAGGATCTTGCTGTGATTTATGTCATAGAGTGTTCTGCCTATGTTTTCCTCTAAGAGTTTGATAGTGTCTGGGCTCACATTTAGGTCTTTAATCCATTTTGAGTTTATTTTTGTGTATGGTGTTAGGGAGTGTTCTAATTTCATTCTTTTACATGTAGCTGTCCAGTTTTCCCAGCACCACTTATTGAAGAGGCTATATTTTCTCCATTGTATATTCTTGCCTCCTTTATCAAAAATAAGGTGACCAGGGCTTCCCTATTGGCCCAGTGGTTGAGAGTCTGCCTGCCGATGCAGGGGACACGGGTTCATGCCCCGGACTGGGAAGATCCCACATGCTGCAGAGCGGCTAGGCCCATGAGCCATGGCTGCTGAGCCTGCGCGTCTGGAGCCTGTGCTCCACAGCGGGAGAGGCCACAACAATGAGAGGCCCGCGTACCACAAAAAAATAAATAAATAAGGTGACCATATGTGTGTGGGTTTATCTCCGGGCTTTCTATCCTGTTCCATTGATCTATATTTCTGTTTTTGTGCCAGTACCATACTGTCTTGATGACTGTAGCTTTGTAGTATAGTCTGAAGTCAGGGAGCCTGATTGCTCCAGTTCCGTTTTTCTTTCTCAAGATTGCTTTGGCTATTGGGGGTCTTTTGTGTTTCCATACAAATTATGAAATTTTTTGTTCTAGTTCTGTGAAAAATGCCATTGGTAGTTTGATAGGGACTGCATTGAATCCATAGAATGCTTTGGGTAGTATAGTCATTTTCACAATGTTGATTCTTCCAATCCAAGAACATGGTGAATCAGTGATCTTGCTTAAGGTTACTGAGACCTCTGAGACTATTGGAAGTGTTAAGTATGAATGTAAGTTTCAAGAATAAAACTTGAAATGTTTAGAAGTTGTAATCATTCATAATACAGTATGATGCATTGGAAAGCTGAAACCCCATTGATAGTTTCCTTTCTCTATACTAAAATATTGATTTGTTTTTAAGTTTCTGTTTCAGTTCTGAATTTTAACTAGTATAAAATGGATTAAAAATTTCACATCTATATATAAATGGAAATGTTTTCAAATTTCAAGTCTCTGCCCAGTAGATAGGTTCTATAAGCAAGTATACTTATCAAATTCTAAGTGATAACTCTATAAATGTAAAGAAATACATTTTTATTTTAGGGTGATTCTTTTTTCATGTCTCTTATTCCAAATAAGCCTTGATTATAAATAACCTTAATAAGCAATTAGATAATACTATCAGATTCCATTTGTGTGGGCCTTTTATTTTTCTTTCTATAAAGGGTACAGATTTGTTTTTTAAAAACCCCATTAAAAGTTAAAATTCATCATTGTGTGAGCATTTTCTAAACATTTCCCAGGCTCCTTAAGCTACACAGTACATAGATTCCTACCCAAAATGTCCTCTTTACAGACACAGTCACTCTAACCTTCACTGTATTACTGAATTTACATCAACTTTTCTTTCTTGTTGTCATCTAAGCACAGTCTTAGTGTTACATTTTTATTTTATTTATTTATTTATTTATTTATTGGCTGCGTTGGGTCTTCGTTGCTGTGCTCAGGCTTTCTCTAGTTGTGGCGAGCAGGGGCTACTCTTCGTGGCAGTGCACACACTCCTCATTGCAGTGGCTTCTCTAGTTGCGGAGCACGGGCTCTAGGCACACGGTCTTCCATAGTTGTGCCATGTGAGCTCAGTAGTTGTGGCTCACAGGCTTAGTTGCTCTGAGGCATGTGAGATCTTCCTGGACCAGGGACTGAACCTTTGTCCCTTACATTGGCAGGCGTATTCTTAACCACTGAACCACCAGGGAAGTCCCTTAGTGTTACATTTTAAAAGTCAGCAAAATGTGAGAGATCTTTGTTTTTAACAAAAGTCAGTCTGTACCTTCTAAATGAATAAAATACCTAAAAAATGCCTGTACAGAGTCCTGCCGACTTGAAAACTGTAACTAGTGGATACCTTGCTTTTGTAGTATGTACTTTTACCTTAGTGCTTGTACAAAAAATGTTTTTAGTATGTGTCCATTTTCTCTGCATTTTGGCATTAATTAAGACTCTGGGGTTGAATTCTTTTTACATCAACATTATTGTTTATTGTTGGAATTAAATTTTTTTTTAATTAGAAAGAAGACATTGCTCTATCTGAGGAGCTTCTTTAATTGTATTTTAGAAACTGATTAGACCTTTTTCTATTAAAATTGGTGACCTTATTTTACCAGAGAGTGAATTCCAGTTTTACTTCAGAAACACTGCTATTGCTTTATTAGTCCACAATAGTAATATCATAGAACCAAAGTAGCTTACTTACATCAGGGGTATGACACTGGTGCAGAGCCCTGTTATTAAAGAAGGCTAAGATTAGATAATGTTTAATGTCTTATATTTATTTTTCTGAAAATTTTTAGAAATAGTTTTAAATTTCTTAAGTAAATTTGGAGGAAAAGATGATTACATCTGAGGTATTTATGATTTTCAGGCATGCTTTCAATGAACTGTTATATTTTGAGTATGGAGAACATATATAGAGATAATTATGAGACAAGGCAACCTTTATAGATGAATACATACACATAAATGTGTGTATGTATTTATGTGATACATTCTTACCGTAAAATATAAGTACCTTTGAAAGTGGAAGTCCCTCTTAAGATTAATGTTATCCTTTGCTGCACTGTTTAATACAGTAGCCACTATTTAAATTTTAAGTTAATTAAAATTAAATTTAAAATCCACTTCCTTAGTCACACTAGCCACATTTGACGTGCTACTATATACGATGTAGATATAGAACATTTCCATCATCATGGAAAGTTTTTTCAGACATAATAATATATCTGATAATCCAGGGATTACCACTGATATATTTTCTGGTATAAATTCTTTCATAATTTTTTCTACACATATACTCATTATTACTATTTTGCAAAAAGAAGATCATATTGTACACGTTTTTTTTGTCATGATATTTTTTACTATTACCATATATACATATTGATTACCTCATTCTCTTAATGTTTATTTCATTACATGACTGTGTCATATTTATTTAACTGGTTCTTCATTGGTAGACATTCTACATGGTGAAGCCAGTATGGATATTTTGGAAATATGACTTCTTTGATTGGATATGTTTTGTTAAACCTTAATCCCTTTTTACATTATAGCCTTTGAATGTACATGGAAAGGGATAAAGAGAAGTGGTACCTTGAAGTGGGGTGGTAATGTCTGTCTAGCCTATCAAAAGTTGCAGCATCTTTAGACTGTGAGAATGAAGGGTGAAATGTTATAAAAGTAAAGTCAAATATTTAAGTTAAACTGGCTGAAACATCGTTCATTCTCTCTAACCTTTTTTCCCTACTCTCTTAACACAGGCCACAAATGCTCACACCAATGAGGTTGTGGCAGTTAAGAAAATGTCCTACAGTGGGAAGCAGGCACATGAGGTATGTTAAAGACATTGTGTACCTAAACTGACATAAGCAGGTTAATATGAAATTGACAGTAGAAACAAAGTTCTTTAAGCATTTCTTTATCACAGTTCTTTTTTTCCCTTCTTGTGGAGCATATAATAAACGTTCCTAATATTCTACCTCAATCAACTGTTTTGTGGAATAGAACATGGATTAGTGTAATGGATTTATTATAATATATTTGGTGATTGATTTAATTTATAGGTACTAAAACAAGAAATAATGCAAGTTTAAATTGCTTCTTTATGTATTAAACATTCTCTTTGTCCATTTAAAATAATGAAAAGACTATTTTATATGTATACTTGAAAATAAAATACTGTTTTCCGTTCAAAAATTATGATATTTTCTTTCTGACTTAAATAGAAATGGCAAGATATTCTTAAGGAGGTCAAATTTTTACGACAATTGAAGCATCCTAATACTATTGAATACAAAGGTTGTTACTTGAAAGAGCACACCGCTTGGGTAAGTAAGAGGACCTCTATTGTCTTTTTATTTTTTCCTATTAAAATTTTTTTCTTTTCCTTTTTTTCTGTTATCTCTTTGGTCTGTAAAATTATCAGCCCATTTCTGTCCCATGTGATTTTTGTTTGTCAGTATTTAACATTTGTTACTTCAGAGTGTGCCATTATGGTATACATTCTGTAAGTTTAAGCATAACATCTAGTCTATAGGAAATTTTATTCTTAAACACTCAACAAAGAGAGAGTGAATAGTTAACATCACTTTATAATGATTTATTTGCAAAAGCAAAAAGCAGTGCCTTTTATTCTCATCCAAGAATTTTTATCTTTGTCATGTCTCATCCCCTACTCCAATTCCCCCCAAATTTGGAATTATGCTTGATATTACCATCACTGTCTAAGTTTTTTACCAAACAGAGCCTAGATTATGATTAACCTATCTTCTTACTATATATATATATATTTTTTTTTTTTTTTTTTGCGGTACGTGGGCCTCTCACTGTTGTGGCCTCTCCCGTTGCGGAGCACAGGCTCCGGACGCGCAGGCCCAGCGGCCATGGCTCATGGGCCCAGCTGCTCCGCATCATGTGGGATCTTCCCAGATTGGGGCACGAACCCGTGTCCCCTGCATCGGCAGGTGGACTCTCAACCACTGCACCACCAGGGAAGCCCATTCTTACTATATTTTTATTTTACATGATTTTGTTTCTGATTTTAGGTTAGCACATTAGACATTGTCTAGAGCAAGTAAATGCTATACCTTGTACTTTATGGGATTGCATATTCCAATTTAAAGTATTAAATATCACTATCATTTATTGAATACTTACCAATGTACAAGTCCTTTCCTGTACATGATCTCCAATTAGGGAATGGAATTTTTGTTCCCAGATAGAATATCAAAGGTTAAACATAAACCTTTCTGCTCAAGCAATTCCTAAGATATTTAGAGCCATTGCTTCTGTACTGAGCAGAAGAAATTAATAAGAGGAGTATCTCATTCTATGGAAATCAGTTCTCCGGCAATCTCAGCTGTCTTGAAGGAGTCAAGAAAGGGATTTTGAGCAGGCAGAATAAATGTTACAAAATCAAGTGCTAGATAACATGTGTTTCAAAACTTCAGAAAATCCTCCGAGCTCTTATTTGAAGCCTATTTACTCTTAGATTACATAGAATGCTAATAAGTTTGGTTACCTAGTGTTTGTCTATAAGGATTTGATAGGCTAATTAGAAGGAACTCATAGAACTAAAGCTGCTGGAGACATGCATACAAATAGCCATAACTAATTTGACCTGAAGGAAGAAGTTGGGGAAGTTAGAAAGCAGACCTAACAATTTAAAAGCAGAACAACTAGAGCTGATAATTGTCAAGGGCAAACAGCCAGCCACAGCTCAGGTGCCCTTGTGTTATGGAATAATTGGGAAAAGAATGTTTGGGACATAAATACAGAGTTAACATGTAATTTTAAAAATAGACACATAACTATAAACATACTCTAGTCGGTTCTAAAGTTCTATGTTCATTTTCCTTATACTCAGTTTAAGGAAATTATATGTGTGTATTAATTTACATAATTTAAGAAATTAGAGGGAATTCCCTGCCGGTCCAGTGGTTAGTACTCCGTGCTTTCACTGCTGAGGGCCCAGGTTCCATCCCTGGTCAGGGAACTAAGATCTTGCAAGCCGTACAGCGCGGCCGAAAGAATAAATAAACAAATAAAAAATTTTTTTAATTATAAAAATTAAAATAAAAGAAATTAGAAAACTGAGTAATACAGTTGAGAAATGTTTCCATCAAAACTGATTAAAAATATTGTTTGTCAATTATACCTTAATAAAGCTGAAGAAAAAAGAAAAATAGTGCACCTAAAAGGCTAATGTTCACTATAATATTCACTTATGTGGACTCTTTCATTTCACAATAAGAAATAAAATTAATGTTTCTGAATCTGCTTACTTTTTTTTTTAATAATAAATTTATTTATTTATTTATTTTTGGCTGCATTGGGTCTTCATTGCTGCGCATGGGCTGTTCTCTAGTTGCGGCGAGTGGGGGCTACTCTTTGTTGCGGTGCACGGGCTTCTCATTGCCGTGGCTTCTCGTTGCAGAGCATGGGCTCCAGGCGCGCAGGCTTCAGTAGTTGTGGCACGCAGGCTCTAGAGAGCAGGCTCAGTAGTTGTGGTGCACAGGTTTAGTTGCTGTGTGGCATGTGGGATCTTCCCAGACCAGGTCTCATGCATTGGCAGGCGGATTCTTAACCACTGCGCCCCCAGGGAAGCCCTGAATCTGCTTACTTTTAATATAAAGCAGAAAACTATAATAAAGTTTCTAAACTTTAAAGTTTCTCATATTGTTTTAGATTATTCCAGAAATGGAATAATTTTTATACATTATGTATATTTAATTACATCTATAAATATATAATAAATTTAATAAAGTAGATGTATGTCTTTATTATATATAATAATATATATGTATGATATATGATATGTACTGTGTACCTTGCTATTGGAATAAATTCAGAAGAATATAAGATGTGTATGTTATGTACAATTATATATTATAATAATATATGACATATAATAATATATAATATTATATCTCATATCCTTCTAAAATATTCCAGTAATGCAGGGTACATAATACATAAATGTTTTCACATTAATTTTTTTTAATGAAGGAACCAATATATTAATAGTAGTTGTGTCTATGTGATTATAATTTGTATTTCATAATAAGCATGTTGTGTTTTTTTAGAATAACAAAATAATAATTTGTAGGTGTGTGTGTGCTTGTGTGTATATGTGTGGAGATTGGTCACTGAGCACTCCAGTTCTGACCTTGGCTATAAATCAGTAGTAATTTGGAATGCCTAAAATATCTAAGATGAGAGTAAAGAGTTTTCTCATTTTTGCTTTTCACAAGCCTCCCAACATTGCAAAGCCAATAAATATCAATATTAATGTAATAGTATTGCTCTAGAAATATTTTAAGATATAAATTGAAATATTCCATCTCTCAGGAATTCAAGCTAATGTAATAATACATAGCAGGATCCTTTTTTTTTTTTTGCGGTACGCGGGCCTCTCACTGCTGCGGCCTCTCCCGTTGCGGGGCACAGGCTCTGGACGCGCAGGCTCAGTGGCCATGACTCACAGGCCCAGCCGCTCTGCGGCATGTGGGATCTTCCCGGACCGGGGCACAAACCCGTATCCCCTGCATGGGCAGGCGGACTCGCAACCACTGCGCCACCAGGGAAGCCCCT